CGACTACCAATGTGTTGCCGAGAACATGGCGGCGCGCCGACAAGGGCCAATGATAACCCTTGAAGTTCTCGGAGGTTAGTCATGTTTCTGTTTCCTAATTTCAGTCTGGGAATTCAGTGCGCAAAAGTCTGGTTTCTTTTAGAGTGTTTACACTTAAGTTGAAATTTTATTCGACGTTTTTAACCACTTTGGTGGGATTTTTATAGTTTGCAATAAAGCTTTGAGCTCGACCACTCCCAGATTTCAAAAAGCAGACCCTAATCTAATTTGAAGAGCTTTTAGTCTAAGGACAAAAGTCTGAAGCCAAAGCCGAACCATAAGATTCCTAACCTTGACTTGCTCATGCGATCTTGTGTTTTAGACTTCATTTGAAGTTGCTCTCCAACGCGGTGGAAAGTCTGATACGTTTTTGTTTTACCTAGTGGGAACTCCTTTACCATTAAGTCAGTTAAGTGAAAACATGGCAAAGAATGTCTGGAATAATTTGTTTAGTCTCAATTTGACAAATGAAGAACAAATTTTCTGCAGCTGAATAGTTGAGAAAGCGTATCCAAATTTGCCCTTGGTGCCAGAGGCTTTTTATGCGCGGTTTCCGGTTTCGGTGAAGTCTTGACCCGCTCGTGTCTTCGGCCTGCGGCCGACGAAACGAAGCTCCACGTCGCAGGCGAGAAAAAACCTCTGTTACCCAGGGTAAGCCAAATTTCGAGAGAAAAAGAAAACTCACCGTATTTACCTCATCCATGTTGTCCAGCTATGTCGACCGAAGACTTGAACCAAAAGAGTTATACACAACTTGTACCTGGAAAACATTGGATTATATCTTCTTTCACGTTTACTGAGAGATGTTAACGACATGACCCTAGTAAATCTCTAGGCTCTTTAGTTTTCCAAGCACATGCCGACGCGATATCCGTAGACATAATACAGTTGAACCTCCACAACGGCCACCTTGGGGACAGAAGAAAGTGACCGTTGTGGAGAGGTTGAAACAAGAGTCAATTTATTGACTGTCCGCCAAAAAAGTGGCCGTTGTAGAGAGGTGGCTGTTTGTGGAGGTTCGACTGTACATAGGTTTAGCAAGAGCTAAAAGCAAAGCTTCCGTTTATGTATTTAAATTTACTGCAGACAATGGTCTTTAAACTATTATAAAGACCAAAATCTGTACTTAACTTGACGGGAAATCCATATGACTGGCAAACATAAACTTGAGCCCGCGATCAATTAAAAAATAACAACTGGTCAGCGGAAAACTTCAAAAAACAGCTGACCTCGATGATTTGGCACCTGAGCCCGCGATACGGTCATGTGACACTGGTCAGCAGATACCCTGTTTTGACACCTGTCTACTGACCGTAATATGAATGTCTATTATCAGGTTAAACACAGGTTAAAGGCTACCACACTAGCTAGAAAATTTGGCATTTCTCATTGGTTGCCCTGTGGTGCGGACGGACGGGCGGACGGGCGGACGGGCGGACGGTCACGTGATTATCAACATTTCTCGGATGGATAGATTACCAAATTTTCTTAGATACTGAGCTCTTTTCGCGCGCTCGTGGAGCTCCGCTAAGATGAGGAGCAATCTGTCTCTTACTTTCTCATTTCCCCGTTTATTTAGCTTTGATAGCTGGCAATAAGAATACCTCGGCTTCTGATTGTAATAAGAGTAAAGTGAAGTGTTATGGAGACCCAGCGGTTCGCTACAATAACGGAAACAACAAATTGTCCAATTGGGGTAAGATACATATTTCTATCTTCATTAAGACTACCCAGAAGCATGCTTCTGCCTGATTATAACTCCTAGCTGTGTTTCACTAGAACAAACAAGACTAGATCTGTTAGTGCTTGATCATAATACTCTCCCCTCCCCCGAAGAGAAGAAATAATAATAATGATGATGATGATGATGATGATGATGATGATGATGATGATGATGACGATAATGATGATGATGATGATAGTGATGATGGTGATGGTGGGGTTCTAACATGACAACACTATTAGTTACTCATCAAACTTGACTCTGAAATTTACCTTTACTTCAATTCAGATCCATATTCACCCATGTTAATTGTTGGTGCAGAAGATGAGATTGTAATATTTGGATTGAAAAATAGTTCAAGAGGAAGGCGATTCCAAGCGAAGAATATAGCATCTCTTGACTTCGACTCCGATAAACGTCACATATACTGGTCAAACAGAAGAGGGATAAACGAACTTTTCTTAGACACCGGCGTCAGTGAAGTCTTCCCTTTCCATCTCGATCGCCTCAACCCTGCACCATCCCCGAATTCCCTTGCCCTTGATTGGATTAATCAAAAGATATACTGGACTGATGGCAAGGATTTATATCTCGGAGATTTGCACAATGGGAGACGTGTTTTACTAACTGAAGGAGGCCTTGATACACCAAAGGCTATTGTTGTGAGTCCTTCGGATGGGTAAGTAAAACCAAATTTGTACGACGAATTTACAATAATTATATATAATTTATTATAGTCAGTCGCGCATGTAAAACAGCTCAAATAGGCAACTGTAGAAAACCATTCTTATCATTCTTGAGTTTGTATGATGTAGAAATGATTCCCTTTTCCTTTCTAGACATTGTTTTCATGTTTAGATTGCTTACACTGTATATGGGGAGTATATCTTATCCATTTTCTCTAATTAAATATTCTTTCTTGAATTATTGCAATCTTGATTCGATGAACACATTTAAAAGAGAACTTTTGTTTAAGAAACAATATTCGTTTGGCACCCCCCAAAAAAGTACTGGCAGCTTAGCTGGGGCAAGGTTTTGAAACTAATAGGTTGGAAGTTCGATGAAACAGGTAGAGCTCTCCAAGCTGTATTCAAAATCCAAAATTTTATCCTTCAGATCTTTAAGAATGTGTGGCTATTGTGAAAAAAGGTTGTTGTGTCAGTCGATTTTGTGTGCAGTGTCACACTGATCTAGATATTTTTCTTTTTCAAAGCTTCGTTTACTGGACGGTCTGGGGCCAAACTTCAAAAATTATGCGCGCAAGACTCGATGGAACGGAAGAAACAGTACTTATTAGCAAAGGTATTCCTTTTCCGACTGCCCTGGCACTCGACGAATCAAAAAAGAGGCTTTTCTGGGCTGGAACAGACAAAAGAAAATACGCAATAATAGAGTTTGTATCCCTAGATGGTTTAAACCGCAATGTCACATTCTACCGTAAGGGTTACCATCCGTATAGTTTGGATATCTATGAGGACTTTGTGTACTGGGCTGACTGGGGAAAGAAAGCTATTCTGCGCATCTCATCCAATGGAGATAGAGAAGAGATGGTCATTACCGGCTTAAAAAAGCCAGTGGGATTGAAGTTGTTTCATATGCGTACACTCGACGGAAAGCAAGGTAGGAATACGGAATCCTTGGACGTACAAAGAACCTTATATCCTCAGCATAAATTGGACAGTGGGCGGGCTTAGACTTTTGCTTTGTTGTATTCTTTGGACGGATTAAACCTTTAATGGAGAACCTCAAGTGAGCTCAACAACAATATGTAAATATTTTAAGGTGGAAAGTCGTTTTGCTTTGGAGCTGCGCCGGCATTTGAAATCGCCATCATTTCAGCCAGATTTTACCTAAGACCCAGATTTATCTAAGCAGAGTTTAAAAAAACCCATTTCATGCTTGACTTTAAAAATATTTGAAATTAAATTTTTTTTTGCACCGTTGTCGGTAAGCCACATTAACTTTTGCCTAAGGATAGCCTTACACTCCGGGGGGGGGGGAGTACTCCCTATGATGGCCTATACGGGGAGGCTCCGCCCGATAGGGGTACCCTTTTCAAGGTTCAGGTATGTGAAGGGGGTAGGGATTTCACCAGTTGAAGTATATGAAAGGGTAGGGAAATCTGTCATTTAGGTCTGTGAAAGGGCCCCAAAGGGCTAACAGGTGAATTTTATGGCTTGATAGAGTCGAGAAAACGTTCTATTTTTGTTGTTTGGTTCCTATTTTAAAGAACGTGCATTTGCATCAGTTAATACGGATGCAAAGTCCTAAACAAAGTATGTGAAAGGGGTACCATTTGTCAATAGAGGGTATACGAAAGCGTTACATTTTTCGTGAAAAATCATGGTATATAAAAGGGTAAGGGGCTGGACCTCGGGCGGAGCCTCCCCGTATAAACGTTTGTTGAGTACCCCCCGCTCGCCGGGCTGAACACGTTCCACTGACGTGACGTGTATCACAAATGGCTTCGCACTTAGCCTCACTTTAAAACAGAGGCTACATGCACTCCATAGCCTTAAGTTACTTTCCTTCGTTATTTTCCCTAGAGAATTCTTGTGATCAGAATAACGGTGATTGTGGCTATCTGTGCGTGAATCTACCTTTTCGTAAAAGATCGAAATGCATGTGTCCAAAAGATATGAATCTCCAAGGGGATGGGAAGACATGCAAAAGATCACAAATTATACCTCAAGACGGTAAGTGTTTTTCTTGAGCCACTTATATTTGTTAGTTTCAAATTAATGACTCCTTTCGGTTTCCAAATTTTATTCATTTCCTAAATCCTATTTTCAGTTATTCCTGTTGTATACCCATAATAAAGGTATTTTTTATTCTTATGTTTTTCTCTGATACAATTATTTACCAGCGGTAATTCCAGGGAATCTAAGCAAGGCAGCGTCTGCTGATAAACTGTTATTCAGGGGTAGAAAACTGTCGAATACATTGCCTTGTTTCGTTAATTGTGTGAGGAAAGAAATAGTTTTTAATCCGTCGCTCTTTATTTGACATCGTCTTTTTTGAATTGGCCTGGCGTTTGCACAGACGCAGAGCTCGACGTACGGTGCTAGATGAAAACCAAGCTATCTACCTAATATAAGCAGTAATGATGAACGATAGAATTAAATATGATATTGATAACCTTTTGTCTTTCATTAGGACAGAGCAAGAAGAATGAACCATTGAGTCCAACTGAGCTAACGGTGATCATTGTCGCTGTCGTGCTGTTGCTCGTGGTACTAGTTTACATTCTTAAGAAGATCCTCTCACGAGTTAGGCAAGAGCAAGAGGGTCTGCCACCTGCACCGCCAGTGGGTATACTGAACGTTGAGGAGGACATGGAAGAGGAGCATACTACTGAACGCACGGAGTTGCAAGCAAATTCACGATCAGCTGATACGTCATCTGTGGCGGATCAGCAACTTTCCTGCAATGCTGAGCCTTTAGAAGCATGCGTAGCTAGAGAGAATCCGTCAGTCAGAGTAAGTTTTGACGAGAAGTTTTTTGATAACAACCTGGGTCCCGTTTCTCGAAAGATACAGTAACATTTCAGGCCGGTAGCCATATTTTGAAATTAAAGCCTAAAGAATGGTTGTGGAACGGTCCTAGCTCACTAACCGTGGGACGTCCGACAATCAGCCCAGTTAAGCCCGTTTCAAACGTCGTGCTATTGCCGTGTCGAACTCAATTGATCGAATTAAATTCGACTTTAGCACGGCAGTAGCACGACGTTTGAAACCAAGTCGTGCTACTTGCGTGCAGCACGGCAAGCCTTGCCGTGCTACACGGCAGTAGCTCGACTTGGTTTCAAACGTCGTGCTACTGCCGTGCCGAACTCAATTCATAAATTATAAATACAGTAGAATATATTTAAAAGTTTGCTTAACTATTTCTTTTTTTTGTGTTTTGTTTTCGGCAACAGCCGTTCTATTCGACTGAATTAAATTCGACGTCTGAAACCAAGCAGTGCTAGTGTCGTGCCGGCAGTCGAGCTGCAGTCGAGCCAGCTTAGCACGGCGGTAGCACAACGTTTGAAACAGGCCTTAAACTCTTCATTTCAGCGCAATTCTTGAGGTTTTAGAACTGGCCCCAGTGCATTTTGTTTCGCGAAATGATCAACGATTGTTTTATTGTATAGTATTTGCACTGCATGCTGTCACGGGCTCTAAGTTATGAGAGCAGACGGCGACTGCCAGGACAATAGGCATGCTGATTATTGAGGGTATCCTACGTCCAACCGCCACCAGACGAGGTGGGAGGGGCGAAACTTCGAAGTCACTTGCACTGAACGCCGTCTAACTGGCCAGAAGGCGGGCAAGCTAAGCAATTGTTAACGAGGGTCGCGATGCATCATGCCACTAGCGCGCCGGCTCGACACCGCGGAAAAGGAGTTTCTTATTTCTCGCGTTACAAGCTAATTGTCTATGCAGTGAGAATACATTGGTTGTGACTTCGTTTGTAATATATTTATAAACGGTGTCCGCCCTACGCTGTGTTACAATGACGTCAGTAAAAACTGGTGTCCACTAGAGTGTATATAAACCACATACGACCCACAATCCCCTGATTCCTTCTGACAAAGGGTTTGCTACGCTCAATTTCAGCAACTCTCTCGGTTTCGGGAGAGGAGCGCGGGCTCATCACCCGAACAGCCGCCTATAATCGAGGCTACATTTCGATTCGATCATCGGTAGCCGTATTTTAAAATCAGAACCTAGAGGATGGTTGCGTAGGTCCTACATTGGGGAGCTTAAGCAACAGCGTTTTTGAGCGACGGACGTCAACCGGAAGTGGACTCATTGCATCATTGGGGAGCGGTTTGGTTGAAACGCTCGGGTAAATCCTTTTTATAAGAGAAAAAACACTTCGTAATACAAATGTGTTAGCGTCAAGGTATATAAAAAGGGAAAAGGCCTCACTTGTGGTTGACCTCCGTCGCTCAAAAACGTCTTTGCTTAATCTCCCTATTAGCTCACAAACCAGGGGTCTGGGAGCTGAGTTGCATAAATGTTACCGTTCGGCGTTCAGCCCAGTCAAACTCGCCAGACGTTAGGTTCTGCGCAACTGGCTTCAGTGCATTTTGTTTCGTCAACTTGTTGGGTAACGGGACTAAAGAGAAACACCGGACTGAAAAAAATTATATACACTTACGACAATATCATTCATATGAACTGACGAGAGTGAAGAAATAGACCCTCACGAATTTGAAAATAACTACAGTACCGAATTCGTAGCTTTGCAGACTAAAATTGCTTTATTGCCTTGAAATTTTAGTTACACAGTTCGCGGGTCATAAACCTCGGAAATTAGCGACAAAGTTTCTTTCGCCGTCGAGGTACCAGTTTAGATTCCTAGTACTTACGTGGGTGTAGTTCTTTGAATTTTTTTCGTCATCATGGATAAACTCATCAAATATGAAACCCGTCGACGTGACTGATCGATGTAAGCTAATTCTTCCAGTACTAAAAGAAACATTATTTTGATAGCCGTAACAACTGTAGTAGTAAAACGGTAGTAAAACTAAACCCGGTTAATATCGAATGATTTATGATAATTGTACACAGTTGTCCTCCTTACAAAGTGAAAGAAAGTGAAAGAAAATGGCCGGGGAACGAAATGGACTAACTGTGAAGATCCGTTTTAGGAGAGTCGAAGAAAAAAGATATCTGTCAAATGTTTTTAGGGTTTATACAATAGAGAATTGTTGCCGGTCTATTCGTACTTGAAAAAGTGCTTGTGACCGTCTTATTAGGGTGTCCTTCAAAGGAGAGTTCACTGTGCACTGTTCTAAAAACATGTCATGTGGCGCTACTTTCTTGTTTGCTCTTTCCTGAAGCCAATGTATTTATTTGTTCATTTTTTTAGGTTCAAACTGTGGTTTACAACTCTTACCATAATACAGTGAACATGACTCAAATGAACACAACCAATAATACATGTAACGCGGTGGAGCTTCGACAAAGTGGCGGGGTAGCAGTTGTTGGAGACAAGGCGGAAATCAATTATCATCGGTCTCCTTAGAGCTAATAAAATCTTTATTACATCTGGGTAACTTATTTATGAAAAATTACTTTATATACGACGGCTGGTCGCTTTAATTGTGTCACTTTGCGGAATGTATGCATATGTGCTGAGAACAGTTCAGAACAGTTTGCGAATGTTTTAAGAACTTTTTCAGGGAAAAGTTAAATTTATTTGTTACTTCATGAAATCAAGTCCAAACCTATATGAAAGTGGACTGCCTCCTCCTGCTGCAGGAGACGGAGGCGAATAACTGGATACACACGAAACGCAAAGCATCATTAAATTTTCTTCCTCAAAAGTGACAATAGCAGTGGAATCAACCTCTATATTTAATGACAATACATAATATCACTGTTTTAATGGTTGGTATTGGTAACAAAGGCTTTATATTCAGATTACGGCTGACTGACCAACTCCCGTACTTCTGCAACCGAGTTTTGTAATACACGATGCATCCCGAAGCATGGTCAAGAACTCCCACATCAATACGGCTAACAGAAATCTGAGGATAAAATATTTGTTTAACAGTTCGTAAGAATTGAGGCATTCATAGCTTTCTTTTTTCACTTTTATGCCTTTAACCACTAACTTTGCCGTCATTTTATTGCTAACAGTTGACTCTATCCCATTTTTGTTGTTCCATAAGCGGAGGCATAGGTTTCCTTTGCAAATGAGATTATGGTGACATGGACGATCCCGTGAAATGGACCAGACTAGATCTACAAAGAGCGAATTAAGGGAGGTATTGGAAGTGAAGTGCTGCCCCATTTAGAAAGATTAATTTCTTGGACGGGCAGTAAATAATTCATGGTATCTCGGTTGTTAATATGCATGATCTTAAACCTAGAGCTGGAAAAGCGAGAGTAAATTGATAATGTATAAAATGTTAATAGACAAAATAATTCATGGCATCTCGGTTGTGGATATGCATGATCTTAAACCTAGAGTTGGAAAAGCCAGAGTAAATTGATAATGTATAAAATGTTAATAGACAAAATAAAGGTCATATCTATTGTATTTTTTAAGCTTGTCTTTATCTTGATATGTGACTTGTTATAACTCCATATATATTATTCTTAGAAGGCATTATTTTCAACTAAAAAAAGACAACTCATAATTTAAACATGAAATAACCAAACTATATTTTAATCAATGATCAACAAGCATTAATGTATCTCAGTAATATATTATCGGTATTTTTATAACTTAAACACTGTATAATGTGTGGCTGTATATGGAATGCATACTCCAAAATCATGTTGGGTTCTCATTGACAAATAAAAAATTTAGACCAATTTTATTACAGTGTACTGTGAACTGTAAAAAAATGAAGTTTCAAAATATAAAGCACCTTTCTGTTGTATTCATTCTTTTCACTTCATGAGGTCTTTGTTAAAGTATTTTTAATGAATAGAAAAAAAATCAGTTTGCTCGCCTCATTGGGTATATTATGTCCGTAAAATTATGGTTCAGCTTGTACAGGTTGTTCGCTTCGTTTCTCCATTCACCTCGTTAGGAAAAGTAGGAAGGTTATCGGCTAAAAACGATTCTGCTGAGTGGTTTCTCGAGGACACTTTAGAACAAATTGCATGGGAAGATTTAGGGGTGGACCGAGGGGGCTTCGGCTACCCCTTTCCTTTGAAATTTTGTATTATCTTTATAGAAAAATAAAAATTATCTAGAATAGAGCTGTTATGTTCCGGTCACCCCTTTCTGAATTTTCTGGATCCGCCCGAATTGTTTCCTCGTCAGTGAGTTCGTGATCTACAACCAAATCCACAGTTGATAATCGAAGCATCACGACAGCGTTTTCTACGCGGCGGGGCCTGGGAACTGATACCGGACAACGGTCAACTAGCCTGCAGACGATAACTAAACTCTGATTAGTACCGTCTGCGAAGCAGCGCAGAGATCTTTGTTCTGGGCCCCCAACGGACTCAACGAATTACCGCAAGTGCCTTTCGAATTCCCCTTCAACCTGATTGGCGATCACGACAAACAAAACAAAGCCTTTTTTAACTGGCCAATCGTGGCGCGTACTCAAATCTGGGTACACAGCTGGAATTCCAGAACAAGGATTTCGGCGCTGTTTCGCAGACGGAGTTAACCAGAGTTTAATTTCGTCTGCGCGCAGGCTACGGTCAACGGACAACGGAATAAATGTTCGAAGGGATGTCGAAATTCCAGGCTATGAAACAAACTTCCAAGTCAACTTCCAAACAAATTGAGATGTCAGTCGCTCTCAATGAGAGCTGTTTTCTCAGGCTATGGGTCTCCCAAACCTGTTTTTGTTCTTATCACCGTGTATAGTGCAAAGAGAAAAACTGCCCTGTCCCTGGCTGTTGCTTAAAGTTGGATTAGCAGATTATCTCTCGTTCACGATTTATCTGTATTAGAAAAAATGTATCGGCTACAGTTTGTAAGATCTTGTGAAAATACCTAAGACTAATTTACACCACCTCGCCGCCGAAAGAAAGCCCATTCCCTCCGGGGTCCCTCTGTGAATAATTGCATCTCGCCCCAGGTCACTTCAGACCGACTAGTAACCTTGAAACGAAACACGCCTCATCCCCGATCCGAATATCGAACTGAACTAAAAAAGAAGCGTTTCGTCGTCCAAGGTTTCTTCGATGTGAGCACATGGGAATAAGATAAAATGTGAACCAGAAGGCATTTTTTCATAGTACTGAATTGCAACTGTAATGTTGGATAAATATTGTGCCCATGCTTGAGGACTTGCATCGCGCCGTTTCTCGAATGGGATGCATTTTGTCACTTTGTCGATACTCTGTCCGATGAAAGATGAGTCTAGTAAGTTTAATTATTAACCAGAAAAACGCTGATGTGGATGCATGGCCGCTTCATTTATTTTCCACCTCGTGGTCGTCGAGCTACGTACTGGTGAGTGCACATTTGATTTCCACAGTAAATTAAATCTTTGCATGGCTACCTTTTATGAGAGCGGGGAGAGCTCTGTTAAAGTCAAAGCTGCATTCGATTCGCGACTCGATACCTCTCAACATTTGGCCTTCAGGTTGCGCTATTTGTTTTGAGTAAAATTGTTGACAGAGTATTAATCTTAAATGTTTTTTAATTATTTATTTTGTTGTTTCCTTTATTTGGTTTGGAACGTGTACAGTGTAGACGCGAGGCGTTGAATTCGCTTTCTTTATAACAGCTGGTCACTGTCATTCTATCGATAACAAAGTTAGAGCAGTTATGTAATAAAAGGGGCAAAGAGGCGCTTTTAAACTACAAAATTATTTCCAGCTGAAGGAGGATTTAAAATTTAGATGTATTATGCATGGGGATCGGTTTTCGTGAGGGTAGTTTAGGGAGAGACTGCTTTCACATTACGTCACGGCGGCCATATTGGTGTTCCAAAACAATAAAAGGGCGGCCGTGTTGGTTTTCCAAACCAGTCCTGTGGGAGTTGAACTCTTTTCTTTTTCTTTTGTTCCAGTGAATTTGGATAGATACTGGTCAATCAATCGAATTTTGCCAAAAATTGCCATTAATGAAGCTTGTTGAGGTTTTTCTGGACAAGAAGAAAAGCCACTGTGAGTACTCCACTGGCTATTTTTCCTGATGGTTACAGACAGCTTTTAAAGTTGATTGCCATTGTAGAAGGCAAAATTTTTGGACAAATTCTTCACGAAAAATGCCTGCACCTCTGTAGTGGTACCAGTTTGATACTGGTGTTCCTTTCACTACCATTGGTATACAATGAACCAAGTCAGTTGGTTAAAGAGGAAAATACTGTAATGATATACACCTGATTGAAAAAATGTAGTCGCTTGAAAAGTATAAACCATGAACGATGGGACCTAATGGATTTATGGGTAGGACTTTATTAGCATTGCAAATTTAAAGTTATTTCAGAACTGTTTACATAAATGAAGGTAATTTCACAAAGATGTATAATTCCAAAAAAGGTCAAATGCTTATGGTTTCCAGTTCACACCTTCACCTGTGCTGGACACATAAGAGGTTCAGTTCTACAGTTAAAAAGTGTCGCCATATCCCTAACGCACACTTGAAAATCATAAGGTAAGACCTAAGAGCGTTCTTGGAAGACAAAAAAAGACACTAGTTGTGCCTTAAACAAAGTACTCTAGGAATTTTCATCTGCACGAGTATCTTGTGACAATGTAAACTCTTGTCGAAAGCAGAACTTTGAATTTGCTTTGCTAATAAAAGTATAACATAAATCCTTGAAGCCTCATCATTAATGGTTTAGACTTTTTCGCGACAATGTTATTTCAATCAGGTATATGTCAATCCCCATTTGGTGTGCTGCTTTTTGCCTTTATGTGACATCTTTTGTTCAATACATGATTTTAAAGTGTGCTGCTAAAAAATTTGAAGCAAAGAACGAAGGTCAGGCTCACATGAAGCAACCCTCAATTTTCAGTGGTGGAGCCCTGCACCAGTATTTAATGCAGTGGGTTCACCTGGGGAAATCCCGCACTGCACAGAAACGAAACACTTCCATTGAAAAACTTTGATCATGAAAATGCAAATAAATAAAAAAAACATGGACTGAGTGTCAATCAATAAATCCCCTGTTTGTATCCCTTTCCTGGTTATAATGTTCCTGCTCAGACACCCGCAACATTTGGTTATTCTTTGAACAACAATAGAACTTCACATGACTAACAATAGCTCAGTCCATTTAAAAATCTGTCTAAATTTAATTAGAATTCAGCATGTGGCTATTTGCGATTAAACGCTTTAACCCATTCGCTCCCGGAGATTTTGCCGAAAAACGCATTTTGAAGCTAGTCGAGAGGTTTTCTGGTCACTGTCGTGCTATAAAGAGCTAAAACTTACCACAAACCAGTTTGCAGGTCGTACACTTGGCGGCCTTCTGATCCAGATGCAAAATATCAGCTTGCGAAGTTCGGGCACGCGCAGAAAGCAAAATTTCGACATAGTTTTTGGGTTTAAAAGTGACAGAGCAGTCTTGACTTTCACTTTTCGCTTTCTCTCCTTCCTTCTTTTTTCGCTTTTCTTGCCTCATTTTTTTTCTCTTGCTGGGCATTTAGTAGGCTTCATTTTGGTGGGAAGAGTTTTTAGCAAAACTTTTAGGATCTTAGGATTAGGTGAAAGGAAAGGTTGGTGGGTAATGGAACAAGATTTTCATGGAGATTTTCAGGTCATTGTCACGTGGTTTTTTGCTTCTTTCTCCGGTGTCCTTGAATGAATTGTGCTCATTCTGGTATGGTTTGAAAGATCTCTTCACTCTGCACAAGTTAGCGAAGAAAGTTGTCCTTGACCGTTAAAACTGATGACGTCACAAAGGGTAGAAAGGACCTGGATCCGCACCGGCGGTTACGGGCGGTTCAGGGGCGAATGGGTTAAAATTGAAATGTATGAGAAAATGGTAATTAAACTTCTTACCCTACATTGAGATATCTTGCATGAAAGGATGCGTGAAATTCAATTGCATTGATTTTTGTTGTTTATGTTGTTGCCAATAGCTCAAACAAGACTTAAAATAGTAGCATAAATTTCATGATTTATATTTAATGTTGCTACATAATCTTTACAAGCAATCAACATTTCATTCAGGGGTAGATTAACACAATCATCAACAACATTGGGCTTCGTTCAAACCTCATTTCAGTCTTTTGGATCACTGCAGGTCATGCATCTTAGAGCAAGTGGAGCTGTAAAAAGGAATAATTATCACATTTAAGCTGTAGCTAAAGGTAAGAGTAATAAATCTAAAAAAGATGCAATTCGTGTTTTCCCATAATGGCCTCCTCATTGGGATGATAAATAAATAATATTATGGCATGTTAACGAATAAGCAATTCCAGAAAAGATCCTTACCATACCATGGACAGCTTCCATATTTTAGCTAGCCCCCTAGCCTTCAGAATTTCCAAAATGCATTATCCCCCC